GTCAATATTAGAATTTTTGACTCGGTGGAAATCTAGTTAAAAACAAAAAGTGATTTTCTACGGAGAATTTTTACTTTTAAACATTTATCTGAATCCCTTCCAAACTAAATAATAGAATGAAAATTGGTTAATGAAATAAAGACAATTAGTAGGTGTTTTTTGAGATATATGAGGACGTACGCCTGCAAGAGGGAGGTAAAAAATTTAGAGTTTGAAAAGTTTTAAAAAGTTCTAGAATGTTCTAGATGGTTTTTGAATTATTTTTATATTTTGAAAATTCTTGGAAAGTTTTAACACTTCCAATAATTTTATTATTGATATTTTTAGTGTTGAGGCTCAAGAATGTCTGATAGATAATGAAGACTCTCTTTGAATTAATTTTTGAAATTCATTATAACTTCTCAATAAATTATATTCCTTATGAAAATAAATTGATGTTAATTCAATTTCCTTCCTATAATTTAAAAAAAAACCTTTATTTTAAAACCTTAAAAAAAACCTTTATTATTTTCAACATTGAATTCACTTTACTCTCTTGCAGGCGGATGTCTTCATCTATCTGAAAAGCATCTACTAATTGTTTTTATTTCATTAGTCAATCTTCATTTTATTATCTAGTTTGGAAGAGGTTCAAAAAAATATTTTAAAATAAAAATTCTCCATAGACATAATGTTAAATAAAATCACCTTTTTACTTTTTTACTCTATTTACAGAGTCAAAAATTCTAATATTTTACTACTATATTCACCTGAAAGTGTTCTATCATTTATTATGATTGTAGAGTGATTTCAACTAAATGTTATAAAAATCCTTATGAAATGGCATCTTTTTAATTATGAATATAGTGACTAATAGAATTATGATTCTACTGAAAATTTAAATATATTTTACATGCATAAAATATGAGCATTAGACGCATATAACTTGAATCATTGCTTAAAATGAAGGATTAAGGAGGAATGAATCATTGCTCTATATAGGTAATCTATGCAACCATTCTATCAATTTCTTCTATGGCTGGAGCCTGACCATCTATGAAATCTGATAGATGCAAATACATTATAGTTAATGCATAATAATCTATAGTATTATAATAGTACCAACTAAAATTAGATCATTGTATTACAATTCAATAATGCTATACGTTATGATATAAACTTTAACTGAAATTACATCTGTATTTACACCGGTATATGGAATATAACATATGCAATCAATAATCAACAAAATAACATTATTTCAACATAGATTATAACGAAATTAAGGTAATATTTTATTTGAACCAATTATCTTTATGAAATTAACATTTAATATTCTAAACACGGAAAATGTGGGTAATACGTAATAATTATCGTTATTTCGGAACAGTTTCATAAATAAAGTGTAATTAAGACAGCGGGAAAAAAGAATAAAGACATTTGCAATATCTTCGATAAAAAAAAAATGTAGATGTTAAAATTGCATGACGAAGTACATTTAGCAAAATAGCGATTTTTGTCTTCTTTGCTATTTCTTTCTTTCTCTTTCTCTATACTTTATCAAGAGAGCAAAATCAATTTATTGATATTTTAAATTCTGAAATGATCAATATTTGTTCGAAATAGCTTATTGAGAATTAGAAAAGTGCAATATTTGTTATTCTCTATATTATTATTAAATAAATATAGGTCTATATAGATTATATATACTCATTTATTTAATCATATAGGTAAATATCGTTTGTTTGTGTAGTGCACGAAAATCGTCAGAAAAAGTTATAATAAATTGAATATTTTTTTACTTTATCTTATTAATTAATATATAAAAGAATACATTTAAAAAAATTATAAATTTAATTCTAACACTTCTTTGTCTTAATATCCAGACTCTATTAAAATGTTTTGCTCATATTCAAGGCCGGCCATAGGGGGTTTAGGGATTTAACCCCTCTCCATTTGGGAAAAATTTAAAAAAATTTAAAAACTATATTTATTTTTTTTACCCGTTCAATTCCTCTTCATTCTACACGACCGTCGAGAGTTCGTATAGGCCCTTTTGACATTTTATTTTTTTGAAAAAAAATGTGTAGAATGTTTTTTATTAATAAAAAGCACTCTTAAAGATTTTATTTTCTGTTAGTAAAAATAACATTAATTTTTATAGGGGCAGGAACCACTATAGGGCATTTAAGTTTTCTCTCAATGAGGTAAAACTTCCTAGCTCCTATAAGACAATATAATAGATTGAGGAATAGCCTTACGTTAGTCTACTCTTACTCTATATATTTATATTGTAAAAATTAATTAATTCTATGAGAAAAAAATTAAAAAAAAAATAGAATTAATTAATTTTTAATTCCATTCTTTTAAAAACCCAGCATGCGGGCCCGCTCCTTTTATTTTATTTTTTTCTTCAAAATTTATTCCGATAAGAAAATAGAATAAAATAGAAAACACAATTTGTTATCTAAACTTAATGTCGAAATCTGGTTACATAAATCTAATTTTGAGATAAAATTACGAAATAAAAAATATATATATATATAAAGAGAGAGAGAAAAATAAGGAAGAAAACAATTCTTGACTTAATAAATGGAATATTTAAATATTGAATATTATGACTTTCATAAAAACGAAATTACGCGATAAAGTATGCATTTTTTCTCGATAGATAGCGCCACTTCATCTCACGAATATATATTTTTTAATACTAATTTTCATATTATGCACTAAGCATAATACAGAAAAATATATATCGGATCCGTATTATTTTATTAAAATATACGAAACATTATTTAAATCTCCATAAATCATTTAATATTACTGAATGAAATCGTATTTGATATTTATCACATCGTTCATACTATCGTGCGCTTTTCTCATGTCTATCTAACATATCATCTTCTCGTATTATCACTTACAATTATATATATATATTTATATTTTATAGCTTAAAAAATAATGTATGACTTAATAATTTCGAAATTTATAAGTTAATTATATAAATCTATATTAAAATGATATAATCACAAGGTTTATTAAAAATTTATGTATTCTATAACCGAAATAATATTACAAGTGCACGCAACGTGATGAAAATTTAAAAAAAAAAAGAAAATAATATTCAGAAAGAAATCGTTCAAAATTGCCATTTTATGCTGTGATTGATATATTTAATTAAAAATGAACGCTTCAATCCATCCAATAAATTTTAAATTATAACATTCATTTCCATTGGTGTGGAGTTAAATAATTATAGTAAAATGGAAAAAAGTGCCTAACAGAATAAAAAAATATATACAAAATTATTATGATTTATTATTATTTTATTGTACAGTAATACCCCGACTTACGCGAACCCGTAGTTACGCGATTTTCAAATCTCGTCGATTCGTCTTTTGTTTGAGCGCCACGCAACCCTTGATTACTTATTCCCCCACATTATTGTTCAGCTTACATGTTCGGATGTGTCGCGCGGAATTCACACATAGCTACAATTTATTTTGTGTTATTTATTTCTGTGTTTGTTATATCTACGGAGACTCGAGAGACTCTACTATGTCATCCAAACGAAGTAGAACTAATTCTTCTGCATCAAACAAGAAAAGAAAAACTTTATCTTTGGAATGTAAAGTTAACATTGGGTATGTTCGTAAAGTCGAACGAGTTAAACGAGAATGACGTCATCGTTATTCCTATTTCGTTAGACTTTTCGAACGATTCGTTACTAACGCGTTTAACTCGTTTGACTTTACGAACGTACCCATTATTAAAGACTTCGATACAAAAATGAAAATTTGTGAATTGGCAAAGAAGTTTGATCTACCGGAATTGTCGGTCAGAACAATTATAAAAGGCAAAGAAAAAATTCTCGAAGCTGTGAAAAATGCTCAATCTTTAAATTCAAGCATCATTCGTAAACGTCACAGTATTATCGCTGAGATGTAAACAATGTTAAAATTATGGCGTAATAATCAAGTAAATGTGAAAAATTATATAATTATATAATTTGTTATACATATGTATTATCTAAGATTTTATTAAACATTTTTTTCTAAATTATTGTTTTCTTTAGTCTCAGGCCCCAATTAAAAATTATTTGTATGTATTTATATGCGAAATTATACCCCGACTTACACAAATTCGACCTACGCGGTTACCGCTCGGTCCCACCTATCGCGTAAGTTCGGGGTATTACTGTATTTAATAATTTTCCTTTAAAAAATAAAATAAAATAACATTTATTTATATGATAAGTGTGACATTGAGTTATCATATCTCAAATAAACTCGCGATTTACTTTCTTCCAATGTTTTTCAAAAAATTATTAAAGAGTTTTGTCATTTGTCCAAGTTTTCCTAAATATAATATATATAGCTTTTATTTATTTATTTATTTATTTATTTCCTTTTAGTTAAATCGATAAACAGACAGACAAAAATTCGCAAGGTCGTTCCTGAGATGAAATGACTTTGAAAAAGTTTTTATTAGTATTTTTTTAATTTAATATCTGATAAAAATTTTATAAGAATAAAATATATTTTTAGATGGCATAGAATAATTTATCATCATCAACATCATATCATCAACATCATCATCATCATCATCATCATCATAGTTTTTGAAAATAAAAGTAAAAATAAATATATATGTATTAAAAATTATTTCAAAAATAAAAAAAAATATTAAAAAAGTAAAATGTCAAAAATGTGATATCAGAAAACCATAGCCTGACAATCATTCTCTTTTTTATTTTTATTTTTTATTGAATTCGGTTGGTGATGATACATCATCATTCTTTACCTGTCAATCTCTTTCCTTTCGCTTATCTTCACAATTGAATTTCTGCTTTATATTAATTGTTTTAAGCTTAAATAACAATTTTTATTAAAATACAATTGCATATTTAATCATTCGAGCAGAAAATAACTTAAAAATATCGATAAAATTATTTTTAAATATTAAAAATAAAAATTAATAATTCTAATTAAGAGATTTATTTTATTTTATTTTTTCTGCAAGGTAGATAAGTTTTTTAAATATCCGTTATAATGAAATGCAATTATAAACAGAAGATGTATGGGAAAAAGTAGAAGAAAAATATAAGTACAATCGTTAAGGTATTGCATAACGATAGTCAATATTGAATCCAGTTTTCCCGGAGGAAAGCCGCATGCCTCAAGGGTGAGGTATGTTTTATATCTTCCAGTTTTAGTTAGATTTTTTTTAAAATCGAAATTTAATTAAATGTTATTTAAAAAATTATATACAAGTTGCTGATTATTAAAACTATGTGCACAACAGACATTATTAATTATTTTCTGCGGATGGTTTTATATTCCCTCTCCGAATTCAGTACTGCGCACTGCCAAAATCCGACAGCTGCTGTAAAATAGTTAAAATTTTACGTCGTCGTCCGAATTGGCAAACGTGTACATTTTTCAAACGTAAAAAATGTAGAGAAGGAGTACAGTAACGGTTACTATAGCAAAAATAATCAACCAAGCGTGCACGTGCAATTGGTATGTCAGTGACGTCATTGGTGCGAGTGAGCCGGAAAATGAAATGCTGCCTATCTCATTGCAACAGCACCAGTCGGAATGACGTCACTTGGAATCGCTACCTCTAGTCGAATTATTAATCTCTGTCTTGCCAGAATATAAAGTAGATATTAAGAGGAAGCATTTGGTGACAAAATGACGTCCCGGTATTATTTTTAAATTTTGGTCGATTCGATGCGGATTGTTCTGCGACAACTTTGATACAAAAGAAGCGCTTCTTAGAAATTTGAATTTTTCTTAATTCTCAAGAATCTAAAATATTTTTCTTACCTTAAAAAAATAAATATATAGTGTATAGATATATATTAGCGGACAGTAATTTGTTCGAAAAAACACTTTTGTGAAACTTAGCGGTCAACTTAACTCATTAGCGAAAGGTTGACTCGCTCTTCCTTAGCAGAAGCTAATTTGTAATTGGGAACCTTACGAGAAAACAGATGTCGCCTCAATTTATTAACAGCTGTTACCGACTGCAGCGAATTAATATGAATTTTATCAATTAATCAGAGAACAACGAAAATGTTTCTGCGTATACAAAGAAAATATTTCATTAAAAACTTTATATCCTTTTCCTATGCTTTGTGTTCTCGGACAAACGCCTATTATTAATTTCATTTTGAAAGGTTCTGAAATATTTTAAAATTAATAATAATTTGTTTGCCGAATGATTTAGTAAACAAAATTTAACCGATACGGCCGCCATTTTTAAATTCGTTACTATGGTAACGAATTTTTTTATCTTTATACTGTACTTTTAAATGTGTAAATACTAGCTATCAAACGGCATAAATATAATTATCGTTTTTAAATAAAATAATAATAATATCTTGTAAAAATTATTATTATTATTGTAATTACTTTTTTTATTCCAAATAGTGTTGCCAGAAGTTCAAAACCAGAAATCGGGACATTGTGATAAAAATTGATGGATATCATCAAATTAATTTTACTGAATTATCAATTAAAGAATATTGCTTATTTTTTGTTATTATGTTATATATTTTAATTAAGTTTTTGTTAGAAAACCCGGTTACCCAATCGTGGATCTGTCAAATCCATAATGGTCATGATTAAATGTGAAGGTCCCCTTAGCGTCCAAAGGGCGAAGAGAACCAAAAAATAAAAAATAAAGCTAGACTATGAGGGGCAGATATAATCGTTGATAGATCTGTCGTCAATGATTGCACGAAACCATAGTACAGGACCACAGAACGTGACGCGTACGCCAAAGATTAGTAAAGGCGTACTCATGTAAGATTGTGCGAATACATGCACAACACTTAATGCCAACAATTTTTATTTGACTTTTTAAAAAATACAAATTGAATTATTTTTTTAATAGAAAGCGGGATATTTCGGAAAAATTTTTCCAATCAGGACGAAATGTTCCAAATGGAGAAAATCCCGAAAAATCGGAACGTGTGGCAACATGATTCCAAACGAAAAGAAGTTCAAAAATTGTAATACGTCATCAAGAACGTAATTAAAATTAAAATTTAAAAAATGATGATATATAAATATTCTAATTATAAAATAATATAATTCTTTTAAACTAATATTCATCTATAATAATTACAAAATAAAACATTTAATTAATTTATAAAATTTAAAAATTCCTCCCCCGAAAGGAAGAAATCGATGGATTACAATTATAATTATCATCGATAAAAAAAATGAAAATTAAATAATTGTTTTTATTTTAATTGCAAATATTTAAATATATAACTTTAACGTAAGATAAATATTTAACAATTATAACGTTTCAACCCGCGAAATCTTTTAATAGACAATGGCGTAGGCACGTGATAGTTTGACTCAATTCAAATCAGCAAGGTGTGAAGAGAAGAATCATTTCCCTTTACATTTCATTATTTCTCGCTAGGGATGTGAAATTGTCAAGAGATTAGATTCAGTTTTCGATAGAGTCTCGTTAATATAGATACATACAATTCTTTTGTGGACACATCGCAGCGAAAATCTTAGTATAACCTTGAAGTAACCAACGGGAATAACATTTTAATGCTAAGAAAACCTTTAAAAAACCATAATTATTTACGTAATAAATAAATATTTCTCTTCTAGTTTCATTCCTAACGAAATTTAATACAAAAAAGAGGAGAAAAAAGAAAAAAATATACGCATTTATCAATTTTTAGATGAATTTGAAAAGCACTCAGTAGTTTGCTATTGATTTTATTTTTTCGATGAAAAATCACAAATTTGAAAGCAGAAATGATGGCATCGCTCCAGTCCATCTACTCCATCCCTACCTACAGAGTATTGGAGTAGAAAGTATTTTAGAGATTTCAATTCTACTTATTTTTAAAGAAGTGCTTCTTAAAACATGGAATTTTTAAATCTTTTAACCCGAAACAAATGTGAACATTTATAAAGTTTGTAAAAAAATTTCTTAAATATTATAAACTATATCAAATTAATTTTAAAATATTTTATTTATTTATTTATTTTTTTAAATAAGTTTTAATAGTAAAGATATTATTGACGGGATATCAAGAGATTATCCTGTACATTAATTGTTTTGTATAAAATTAGCATGTATAATTGCTAGAAATGTATAGAAATGCTGTCAAATTTTGCCAAATCTATATAATAGTGGCGGATTAAGACCTTCTAGGATCCCTAAGCGCAGAAGTGGAGGGCCCCCGAGACCCGGGGCCCCTAGATATATGTCTCACATACCTAGTGGACAATCCGGCACTGATTTAAATGATTTAAAATCAATTTGATGACAGTGGCGGGTTATCGTATGGGCAAAAGGAGCAATTGCCTGAGGCCCACACCAGCAGGTGTCCCCAAACCAATGTTTTATAAGAAAATATTTCCCCAAAAACATTCCCCGAAGAAAAAATGCCAGAAGTCAATACTGTGCGTGGGGTTTCCAAATTCAAATTCGCCTGGGTCTTACGAAGCTATAACGCGCTACTGTTTGATGAATCTAATAAATTAATTAAAGAGAAAATTATATTTTAATTAAAAAAATACTGTGGGTATTTTAGAATTTGGTAATCAAGTTTAGGGTATTTATTTGTAACAGATATTTGATGTAGGCCCTACACTGTGGATACAGATAAGTATTATACAGTGACGTATACAAAGGAGAAGATAAAATCATGCAGAAACATTATCAGCACAAGCAATCTGAAGCTTAGGAAGAGCGATATCATCCAAGCATATTTCTTAATTTGATCGGCTGATGAAATATCAAGTTTTGTTTTCAACAACCGGTTGAAGTCAGTCGGATTAATGAAAATCGGAAGTGTTCGAAATGAAAGTTAAATTACTTTGCTTCCATTATTCATTGCAAATAACCTTTTTCTCTATGCTTAATTTTGTCATCTCTGTCCTCTTTTCTTTTTACGGCGCTGTTTAATTATTCATGTTGTACGTTCCTGTAGAAGATTCAAAATGTCTCAGGCAATGCAGATATAAAAATAGTTCATTAGAAGTACACATTACTCGATGAAATTCTTATCAAACAGTATTAACTGTAAAAATACACTTAAATTAATTAAATTCATTTGAGAAATTGTATAAATATCACATCAAATATAGCAAAAATAATTTTTACAGCGCTTAAAAATGAAATTATATCCATCTAATTCGTAAGAAAAAGTTCCGATAATTCATAATTTTAATTCAAAATATATTTATTTCATTTCCAAAATTTTCAAAGTGAATAAAAATATTAAAAATAAGGTTTGAGCCTAATTACTGTAGCACCTCTCTATTAAAACACCATCTGTCTGCATGTAAGGATTTTAATGAAAATTTGCTTTTAGATAAAGAAGAGAAAATTATTATTATATTTTTAATTTTTATTCTAATCTAGTGGAAGATTTTTTTAAACAGAAAACTTTCTTTTATCATTTTATCTATAGTCGATATTCTCTAATTTTTGCTAACTGATGCAAGCACAATTTAGAATTAAAAAGTATTTCATAGAAAACATCCTGCATTCAATATAAATATTTTATAAATTACATCATAAAAGTATAAAAGGCAAGCAATATATAAAAGATCATTAATTTAATTTGCAATTAATAAACTTAAAATTCTACATAATAAATGAAATTCAAATTGCTTGAAAAAAAACACGAATTTGAATTTAAATATTTCTATTTGATTACAATAACAATTATTAAATTACCATTTATTTCTGTATTAAGTAAATTTCACTTTCACTAATACATTTTTCTGCATGAATTCATTTTTAAGGTCAATTTTTGTACAATTTTTTCCTTTTTTTATCATCACTTTTCTTCTTTTTATTTTTATATAATTAATTCTCTTTAAGATTTCAATTTATTTAATTTTTTTTCGATTTTAATTTATTTATTTCTCTATGATTACAATAAATCATAAAAAAATTTTTTACTGCTTGGATACGATTCTAGTTGCAATCTTTATTTATTCTTATCATATTTCTCTAAATATTTTTTCTAGTGAATTTTAGGAATTTTTAATGTAACTCTAAACAGATGTAATTTCATATTTAAATATAAAACTCTAATTTTTTTTTAATAATCGCTAGCATTTATATAACGCGTTTTCATTTTTATAATTTACTAAAGGGAACACGAGTAAATAAAATACAATAGATCTTTAATAACGGCCACCTCCCAACAACGGACTCCGTTAAACAGCAGCCATTTTTTTTTTCAGGAACTTTTCTTTTTTTAAACAAAAATGCATACAAAATAGCTTCTAAATAACGACCATCTCCGAACAACGGACATTTTTTATGTTCCCGTCAGTGGCCGTCGCTCAGAGGTTTGACTGTTTTAAGTTTTTGAATCGAGTTTGTTTTTCTTAATGGAATCTTTTAAATTATATTTACATTAATTTTACCGTTTAATCTATATTTAATATTCTGTACAATATTTTTAAAGATTATTTATATAATATTTAAACTTGGTTTCAAGCGCTCCGATTTTCTTAAGTTTTAGCAATTAGAAGCGCTTATGCAAGCGTGCAAAAAGTCTATTTATATCCTGTATATTATAATTATAAGCCTTTAAAGTTTGTTTAAAAAATAATGGCGGATCATAGGAGGGCTTTTATGCCAAAAAGCATCTAAAAAGATTAGCGGCCAAAGAGAATAATCTCATTAAAGTGAACTTATTTGGAAACTCTGCTCTTTTAATCAAAAGCAACGAGGCCATTTGCAATTTTAAGTAAAATACGTGACGTAACTAAATGACATTTAATCTAAAATTAATCCTAAAATCAGAAAGAATGCGTAGGGAATATTCGCATGCTTAAAGGTAATTGAGAAAAGTTACCATGGTGATATAATAATTACAGGAGATGCGAAAGAACAAAAATAATTTACAATCCAATTGTATGAGAAGGAGGAAAAAAATCATCGATTTTCTCGTGTCTTCTCCCTTTTTTCTTCTTTTAAAAAATTATTAATAAATTGATAAAATTATTAAAGAGGAGTTAAGCCGTTGACTGTTGGGAAAGGCTATTTTAGAACGAATCTGTAATTAAAAAAGGTCAGAAAACCGGTCGACACGATATTTTTCGTGCTTAAATTTTAAGATAATTTGCATTTACGATAAAATTGAAAGTTTGAAAAATTAAAAAGATGCCATAATTTGATTTTAAGAACGGAAAACTCTCGCCTTCCTCTTCTTATTTTATTTAAGATGCGGGAAATGTTGAATGCGAATATTAAATTATTATTTTTATTATTTTGAAGCAACAGACGGACAAAAGTTGCTGCCCTTTACGGGTCAACAAACGAAATAGGGCTTGGAATTATTTCTCAAGTTAAAGCATGGTGGCGGCATGGGAGGCGCCGACCGGACTGCCCTCTGTTATTTGTACGGCGCCCTACTTTTGTTCCTAACAAAAAGCAAAGAGGAGAGTGTACTTTCAAGGAAATGAACATCATTATAGAATCTTTAGAAGTAGAAGAAGCTAGGAGAAAGGAGGTCGCTCCGATATTAAAAAAAAAAATCGAAATTTATCCTTCTAGATAATAATTTTACGTTGCTGGAATGGTAACAAACGGAAACGTATTCCCAATTTTAAAAACCGTATCGAGTAAGTACGAATAAACTTTCCTTTTCCTTCAATAAGTACTGCTAATTGATTACACTTTCGATTTTGTAATTAATAGGAGAAAAAGAAGGAAGATAAAAAAAAACACTTACCACAATTACTGATAAAGTTGGGCCCAGCATTGCACCGGGCCGGAAAGAAAAACCAGGAAGTCATGTGATCTTAATACATCCTTTGTGATCGGTTAAGAGAACACACTCGAGAAGAGTAGTGGCACGTTATATAGCAAAGCCTCGACTGACTGACTACGAGCTTCACCCATCAGATGTAGGAAGACTGGAAACGGGGGAAAGGAAATCGTTCTCCACCCTCAATGTTTCTGGCACTCTGCCCGTTTGTTATAGGGCGGGTCACGTGATTTAGGGTTAGAGTTTTGTCACTTTCTGGGTTTCTAAAACGTTTTTTATTGACAAAATCGACTTCGTATATTTTGTCGGCCCATTCCACTCCAAATATGTTAAATCCGGTTTGGTCCACCTTATCGATTTTTTCGCTTTATATATATATAAGGAAATTTCGATGGAGATTATTCGAACGAGATGGATAATGGTTGAATTAACAGTACGCCAATAACTATCAGATGATGCCTTTAATAAAATATCGACTCTGACATACCAATAATGCAGCATCATCTTTTATCAATCATTTGAGCGAAGTGGTAATCCAGCTTGCCCCCACGAAGGTCACTTTCGCGCATGATATACCTGCTGAGCGGGGCAAGCAGTCGTCCAGGTGTAGACGAGATAAGGAAGTAGGAAAAAGTCAATAATTCTCTCCTGCGAAACAAGACGGTTTAATGTGCCCCGTAGGGGCCATGAGAGAAAACCTGATAAGCTCTCTTCATCCAATCTTAACTTGCATGCATGGCTGCGTACTTGAAAAGTTAGATTGACAGTAAATATTCAATATATATACTTTAGTATAATAGAAAATAGGACATGTACGTAAATAGAAATATTACTTTTAGATATGAATTTACACGTAAACAATATTTAGCGTGCGTAGTTTCGTAGTATAAATCATACATTAATAATAAAATAATTAATCAGTTGGACGTATTAAAAATTATTTTTATACAGTTTTAAATTTCATAAATTTCCACGAATAATATTTAAAATTAAATATTAAATATAAATAATCAGATGTCTATATTATTTAAATACACGCCTGTAAAGGATACTTCACCGTGAATATAACTAGTTTGAGGAGAAGTTTATTTACAGGGGAATATAGTAAATGAGTAATTTTAATTCAACCGAAACGTATATTTTTACATTTTATATTCGTCAAAATACTGTCGTTTAAAATTTAAGTGATGTACATAAATTTATCTATCATTTTTGCATTGTTTACATACAAAATATTGTCAAAGTATTATATATATTTGCACGAAATTTTAAAATTAAGAAAACAATCACCGCATCTCTTGTGAAGTTAATGAAGAAATTCGTTTATTTATGAATTCAAAACTTACTATTATCAGTGAGGAGGATATCTTCACATGAAGAAGAGTCATAATAACACGATGATCTGGGATAAGGCGATCTTCGTCCCATTCGCCCGACTTTTTTTGACGAAAAATGGTGATCGCAGAGACTTTCATCGGAAGGCGTTAATTGTCCAACACTGGAACCACAAGAGTCAACACTCAGATTACTAAAGAAAACAGAACCGTTTTTTCTAAAATTTGTTACAAATGATTCTATTTGATTTTCGATCTGGCTGTGACTTGTTGGAAATTTTAAATTCATTTTTCCGATGGCAGCACCTGGCTGGTCCACCAGAAACGTCTGAATTCTTCGGAAAAATCGTTTTCCAATATCCAACATGGCGTTTCAAGTTTCGCAATTCCCCATCTTTCTGCTACGGATCCATGTATCCGACCGTTCTTTCATATAAAACTTCTCTATCAATTTTCTTCAGTTATATTCTATAATAAAAGGAAGAAAAAAATAAGGATACATTATAATAATTTTCACTTAATTGATTAAAAAAATAAGCAAATTTCTTTTCGTACGAATGTTTTTCTCCGTGTCATTTTTTTAATAAATCGATTTAATTGGAAAAATAATTTTCAAATCGGATGACAAAAAAAAAATACTGATTTGACCAATTCGAAATTTTTTTTGTTGTCCTTGAAGGGAATTCCCTAGAGTTTTTCACTCGGAAAAAATTTATTAGAAACAAGTAAAAGAGTGCAGGTCAGCAATTCTTCTTTCTCTCTCTCTCTCTCTCTCTCTCTTTTTTTTTTTAAATTCATCTTTCGTTTTGGTTTGCAAAGGAAATAAATTATGTGAAATGTTTAAAAAATTTTTAAATATCACCGACTAACCTAGTGTTCCAGACGAGATTAATCGATCAGAAAGTAGTCTGCTTTTCAGCAAAATGAAGGAATGGAGATAGAGAAAGAGAGTGAAGGAAAAAAGCTGGATTGTAGCCAAAATAGGCACAAACATGAGTAGATAAAAAAAAGAAAGAAAAACTAAAATACTTTGCAGTTTTTCCTTTTATCAACTTTCACGGATTGAAACTGTTATTCTTAAGAAAGCTTTCTTATTTATATTTTCTTATGAAATTACAGTATGTGTACTTTAGATAAATAAACTGCTGTAAATGACGTCTTCATCATAAAGCTGTTATTGGATCATTTTCTAAATGATAAAATTCAAAAATTCAAAGTCTTATCCGACGTCTAATCCAAGCTTAACAATAAATTTAACACGAAAACAAATTTAATAATTGTTATATTTCAAATATAATGATACATTTCTATTAATTATCAATTAGAAATCAAAGTAATAGTTTTAAATTTTTATATTATTTAAAATCTTTATTGCAAAATTAATATACATCGAAATTCCGGCATATACATTTGATATAGGAGAGTTAATGATTATAAATTAAGCGAAGAAAATGATTGCAGATTAAGAGAAGCTAATTCACTTATTCGAAGCGATTTCAATATATTAATTTATAATCCGAAAAATCGATATAAATTTAGATTTTATAAATCAATTGATAATATTTGTAGCCAGTGATATCAATCGCTTGTAGTTAATTAATCGTTTACTATAATATATATATTTCACATCGAAAAATCTTTATTCACCCGGAAAAAAATGGAAGAAAATAAGATCAAATATCGAACAACTTCGGAATTCGAACTAGAAAGATGCTACAGGTATTAATAAACGGAAGAAAAATCACGGAATTAATGTTATCTGCGATCATTTACCTTTCCTAATTCGCATTAGAATCATTATTATTGAATATAAATATCTAAGTACTTTGCCTCATTACAATAAACGTTAACTAAATAACCATTTTCATTAAAGTCGTTTAATATTTAAGTATTAGCGGACGGTAAACGACAGATAAATTTTTCTCATCTGTACGTTCCCATTATTGCAAATAGTACTTAAGCGTAAGTAGATTAACTGTGATAGAAATAAACCAATGTTATCTCCTATACTAAATCAGATATTTAACCGGATAAACTCATAATTAATTTTATTACTTAACACTTTTTTTATTTAATTACTCTTTTATTAATTTAATATTAATTAACGCTTCATTGCTACAAAAAAGTTTTAAATAGTATTTAATACTTTAAACATAAAAAACAAATTGAAGATATTTCGAATGCTTAAACTGAAATAAATGATTAAATTTGAGAATTTTAAAACTTAAAAAAATTGTCAACATATGTTAATTAATTATGTATATGTACTCTTAAGACGACGATATTTATCTAAAATAGAAAAATTATTATAAAAAAATTAAATAGTTATTCTTTTAAAAGCTTATTTAATGTTATTTATGGATTTAAATTATAATTAAAAGGTGCTCGAGGGTGAAAAGAAAGCTTATGTTGAAATTGACGGAAATCAGCTGCTGCACTGTGACGTCATATTTGAAACACTTCCTAGTCAACCAGGAAATGCATTTGCGAATTTCCATAGAAAACAACGCCACCTATAACTACTAACCTAAAAATCTCGGCAATCCTTTAACATGGATAAATCGATAAATATGCAAAACCTTTACATCACTGGCCATAAAAAGGAAAGCATTAAAAAAAAGGAAATCAAAGAATTATCACTCCCCTAATCTAATTCTTCACACCTGGTCTCACCTGGTCTCACCTCGTTTACTTTCCATTCTCCATTACAATTACATTAAGGTGGGAAGACCATCACACATCCTAAGTTTGATGTTTGCAAAGGCTCCCACCTGTCAAGGTATAAACAAAAATCCTCTACTCCCTCCTTTAATAAAATAAGTATGCGTCTATGCACATCGTACTTACTGAGATGGAGAACTTGCAAGACGAACAATGCGCTGTCTACTTAAATCGGGAGATGAAAAGTATAGAGAAATTGGATTTAGGCAACACACAGGGCGGTGGCGAAGGCAACCCAGGTCGGCATAGCGACAGTGTCATAGCACTGCGCAGTGGCTAGAATGCCGTCGTTTGAGATATCGATTGCCTATCCTAACCACACTTCTATCCTTTCACGCTTTCTGACTTAATGACTTGAGAAATGTCAGTCAGTACAATTTGAATTTTCCACCACCTATAAGTTGGCTTCCCCTCTCACATAGTAATTATGCGGAGTAAACCGATTTACAGGGGCCGGAGGTTGGGGAAGATTTTTTCTTCCCTCTCTTTGTGTCTCTAGAACAATGGGAGTTTAATTAAGCGCAGGAAACAAGAAATTGACGGAATGGGGATTGTTAATTCCACTAGACGAATATCATGTTCTCCGACTGAGTTGATTACACAAATGACTGGAATTCCACGCATTGTTGGTCGTAAATGGAATTGCATTAAAGGGGAGGAAATATTGTTTTATTTCCGTTTTCTGATTACTTCCGGGATTTTGTAGATTATTACTAATAGTTTTTGAGAAATTATTCCTTGATTTATACCATATTATCATTTCTGAAATGGTAATTTAATAATTCTGTCGTCGGCCGAACTCATTCATCATTAAAAAATAGACAATTACGTACGTTAACCTATTCATACACAGTCGCTGTTTTTTTTTCTGCCGTTTGATTGACGTCTCGAGTAGTTGTCAACTTTTCATTCCTGTAAAGATCACCTCGGGGACACGAGAGGTGTTTCCCACATTGTCAATGACAGATGGCTCTGACAAGTCTTTTCCCATCTCTCTAATCATTAAGACCATTACATAGAATATGGATACGTGACGTCTCTCTTTAATTTTCTTTCGGATATTTACTGCCATCTGGCGAGGAAAAAATGCAACTATTAATACCAACGCTAGTAATAGTTTTCAGACATTTCAACCATCTTAAAATCATATTTTTATAAAAGCCTAAATGATCGCCTTGACATTTTAATAAACTTTTTACTAGGAAATTTGTTCTGAACTATCCGCCTCTATCTAAAAAATAGCGATTTTTTATGATAAAATTCGAATTTACTAAACTTTGTGATAAAAATCCCCCTCAGAAAAGTTAAGCAATTGTGCTATTTTTATTACAGAAAAATAAATATCTCGTTATATATATATAAAGTTTTAAATCCCTAAAAGTAACAGTTAAAATATTCTATTGTTATGTTTTATTAAGATTATAAATTAAGCAGAGGGGTTAAGGTTATCCTCTGAAATGGTGCTTTTTTTCCAAGTGCTTTTGTATTAATGAAAAGCATCTGTATTACACAATTGTTAATATATATAAAAAGAAAGTAGGATGAGAAAGAGAGAGAAAAGGCACTATTTGAAGATTATCAAATGCCATTTTAAAATATAATTATTTTTAATAACATTCAGAACTTTTAAGAATTGTTATTTATAATTGTCGAAATGATGGAGGGAAGTCTTTCGAAAGACCAATGCCGACTACAATCAAAAAACACTATATCAAAACTTGAAACTTTCAGTTCTATTTTTTGATATATGCATAAGTTCTAGCTACTCGAAATATATTAGATACGTAACAAAGTCTAGTCATTACAATCGTGATGTTTTCAAATTGTTTGAGATATTTAGCTTATATATATAATAAATATGTATATGTATTCAATTATACAGAAAACTATAGCAAACTTTGAACAATATTTGAATGTTTATTATAGAAGAAAAAAAAGCCAAATAGTATTTTATCATGATTTCCTATAGATATTTTCAATTGATTAAAAGAATTATTTACAGGTGTTTACTGACTATATCAAATTTTTGTGCTTCCAATAAAACTTTTACAGATGCTCAATAAAAACAGTCTTTATCATTTGTCTAAAAGTTTGACCTTTCGACATCGCTTTGACCGATAAAATTTCCTTTTACTTTTATATAACCGTATTTATTTACCGTTATCATGTTGACTTAAACTGCTCAACGTCTCCGTTCGCTCGAAACGAAACAAACATTGCTTCCGGGCGCAACTAGAGAGTGAAAGAAATATAAATATTTAACTTCTTTCACATTCCGGATAAGTTTAATCGATTACGTGATCCAAAAACTAGTTAAATAGTTTGCAAACAGAGTTTAAACAAGCTGACGGTTGATTTAATGACACGGATGAACGGTCTCGCTTTAAAATATTTAAATTAATCGATAATCNGTTTTAAATTCGAATTTGTTATTGCGTATTGGTTCGATTATAGAACGATTGTAAACGTTTCAGAAAATTGATCAAATTGAAAATAGTTCGTTTGATTTTCGGCAATTCTCTTCAGCGGTAGGTGTTATATAACAATTACTATGGTTATTGAAATATTGGATGTAAATGGGGTTTGCTTGCAAAACCTCCGCTGACGAAGTCGCGGGTAACAGCTAGTATATATATATAGATGAATCTGTAGCTGAAACTTGAACCATAACTCATTTTTTAATACATTAGGAATAGATTTTATGATTTAAAAAAGTTCTAGAAAATTCAGATTTACAATATTCCAGTCAATAAAATTAATAAGGCTTTTATTATATTTGCAAGCAATATATTCAAACTTCTGAACAATGGCCACTGAGGAAACATGAGAAACGGTCACTGTTTAGAGGTTCGACTGTATTATTAAACAATTATTATCTGTATACAATTCTTCATTCTTAAATACATTATATATGCAAATTTATTGCATATTAAAATTTCTAAATATGAAATGTATTTGTTAAAAAATTAATGTTAAATCTATAGTTTAAATATTCAATCAATAATTTTATAATTTTAATTAATAAAATTTTGTCATTTATTTTAAATTTAAACTATTCTCAACAAAAATTGATACTCAAATATTTGATAATTAAAATCTTTTGGTCTTGTTTGACAATTTCAGTTTGTATATTTGAATCACTTTTTTAAAACTTGAACTATTTGATTTTCTTTATTGAATTACCTTGAACTGAATCAATATTTTGTGATGGAATTTCTGATTCCAGCTACCTATTTTTATAAAAATAGCTACCTATTTTTATAAAAATGTGGTAAATATGAATATTCTATTTTTAGTAATCATTATAAAAAGAAATAATCTGAACATATGCAAAATGTCTTTCCTGAGAAAAAGATAATTTATCATAAAATATAAATTCATTACGTTAATACTAAATTCTGTTTAAAAATAATTTAATTTGGCTAAAAAATTATGCTTTGATTCATTAAAATATTTCTAGATTTCATCTTCAGTAATTTCTATATTTATTATTTATGATATTTAATAAAAAGTTTGCAAAATTATTCCCAGCCTACTATAATACATCATAAATAATTGCATCGTACTTTAATAAACCAATATCATTGATAAAATGATAAATTATTAAACAGTTTGGATGTGTTCCATTTCCTTTTAAATATTTAAATAGTAATAATATTATTATCATTATTAAATTTTCAACTATTATATAACAATTATTGTAATCGACAATTAAAGATAAGAGACTATTTATATTCATAAATTAAAGAAATCTTGGAGATAAAAATAAAAAGATATCTTGTGATTTATCACAAAACTACACCTTCTAAAATTTTGATCTTTTGATTAGAAAATGAAAAAATACATTAACAAGTGATAATATTTAATATTTTTATTAATAAAATAAATTCTTAAAATATATTTCACTATACAAATATATTTTTTCATAAGATAACATTTACATTTTTATATGCAATAAATTAATGAAAATGTATTTAACATATAACACAATATGATTTCTTTACTCAGATTTAAGTAAAATTGACAAAATGATATAAACAAATAAAATTATGTATTTACAAATTGATGAAATAACAAATGATATATCTCATAACTAAAGAGATGATATTTTTAGTCTTTCTTCTAATTTGTCAATATCATTGGCAATGCTCTTCCTTAACTGTTCTCGATATTCAGCTTCTTGTCTCCAAACGCTTTCGCTGGCTTCATTGATTAACTGATCAACTGTCGAAGGGTCAAACATTAATCTGGAACTTTTTGATTTATTTAAAATGTCAATTTCTTTTTTAAGCTGTTCTTCATTCTTTTGTGTTTCTCTAAATTTGAAAATAAATGTTTATATTAATTATTATTAAAAACAACTTTTTATTAACTAACTACTACTAAAGTTGACTGTTATGAAAGAAATATTTTTCTAAAATTATAATTTATTCATTAAAAATATTCTAACATTCTATTAAACAATTTGGGAATAGAACAGAAAATAAACTAATACTGTAGGAATAATTTTGAATTTGTGCTCTTAAATAATAATAATAAATATAAAATGTACACCTAAAAATGTTTCTAAAAAATAATATGCAAAGAGAGAATATTAACTAGTTTTTCATTCCAGTAGAAACCCAATTAACCAAAGTTCTGCATTATCTGAGGCAAACTTGTAAGTGAATAACAAAAAATAACTGCTTTTCTTATATTGTAATTGATAGAAGAAAGTTTAAAGTGATAACAGAAACAAATCATTTTGTAATACATGATTTGTTTTATCATTTGACTTCAATACAAGATAATCATTCATATTAAAATGTAACTACAATAATACACATTTTTTATTCTTAAAAGAGTTGTATGTATTAGCTGTATAATAAATGATGTAAAAAATATTGTTCTTATATATGTATGATTAAATTTACCAAAGTATAATTCGGCACCTCAAACAACCTTTACAGCTCCAGTGGTATGTGTTTACATGTTAGCAAACGTTTTCAACCTCATCGAGGTCTTCATCAGGCTACTTTAACTTGTACGAATTAGCTGGCATAGCTTGTTATATAAGAAATAAACTTCTTCCAACACTAGAGGAGTTATAATTCAGCACCTCAAACAACCTTTACAGCTCCAGTGGTGCTGAATTATAACTCCTCTAGTGTTGGAAGAAGTTTATTTCTTATATAATAAGCTATGCTGGCTAATTCGTACAAGTTAAAGTAGCCTGATGAAGACCTCGATGAGGTTGAAAACGTTTGCTAAATGTGTAAACACATACCACTGGAGCTGTAAAGGTTGTTTGAGGTGCTGAATTATAACTCCTCTAGTGTTGGAAGTTTATTTCTTACCAAAGTATAAAAAGAAGCTTAAAAATGATATCGTATAAATCTTTTATATTCATAATTTTTAATCCAAAATGGCTGTTGATGTCCATTTTTCCTGAATGTTTTTGGAGGATGTGTTGGTCCATATTACTTTGGATAATTGGGGTTTTACTGTACTAATATTAACTACACAATGCTTTTCCTAAAAAATGTTTTTAAAAAAGAGAATAAATTAATGAAGACTAAAAAAGAAAATGCAATTATAAAAATAAAAATTTACTTTAAAAGTTTATCTTTTTCTAAAAGAGACTGTTCTAGATTTGTTATTATTTTTAAATATCTTTCATGACTTGAATCAGCATTTCTGTTTGTTTCATCCTTACTGATCATTTCATATTTTGACTGATGTGAAGCAATCTGCAAATAATAAGTTTTCAATTGAATAAATTTCTGTTTAAGAACTTTAAAAATTAATTAATTTTAATTATATAAATTTTTATATAGTAGAATCTGCTTAATGTAATCACTCTGAAACCTGCTTGAACTGATTGATAACATTAAGAGGCAGGGAAGTAAGTATGAGCAATAAGCATATAATAAAAAAATTATAAAAAATAGCAATTTAAAAATGTATAATAACTATAACTATTATTAATATTGATGAACAGTAATTCATCCAGAATTATTTGTGTGACTTTTTTTTTTTGCAGTACCATCTCTAACAATAGCTAGCTTATGATTGAAGTAAGAAATGCCTATAATTTAAACTATTACTAAGAACAAATAATGATTAAAATGATTAATATTTAAACATTGGTTAAGATCGATAATGATAACTGATAGCATGAACAGACAGCTTAAAAATGCCTTAAGTTATTAACTCTACAATAAGTGTAAAGTTTTATATGTATATTTTAACTTGTGTTCTGGGACATGCTAATTCTGATAAGGTTAATTAAACAACTGATAATAGTATCTATGATTACAATAAGTGATTCTACTGTATTAATAATAAAATATAACCTATATTTGAAAAACTCTTTTATATAAAACAAACTACTCACCACACCTCAATAATAATTACATACACAGAACCGTAAATTGGTTCTGTGTATGTAACTCTTTTATACTTTTCAAAAGAGAAAATTTAAATATCATGAATTAGAAAAAAATGAAATACTGTGATAAAATAATTCTAAAAAAAAAACTTATTTTATTAAACAAATCTTACATTTATAATGTGAATACGAGGGGTGTTCAAAAAGTATCAGACCTTTGGTCGGCAAAAATACATTTATTGATTTTGAGGTACAAAACCCTAATCCCCTTCAAAGTAGTCTCCTTGGTANTTACAATAAACGTTAACTAAATAACCATTTTCATTAAAGTCGTTTAATATTTAAGTATTAGCGGACGGTAAACGACAGATAAATTTTTCTCATCTGTACGTTCCCATTATTGCAAATAGTACTTAAGCGTAAGTAGATTAACTGTGATAGAAATAAACCAATGTTATCTCCTATACTAAATCAGATATTTAACCGGATAAACTCATAATTAATTTTATTACTTAACACTTTTTTTATTTAATTACTCTTTTATTAATTTAATATTAATTAACGCTTCATTGCTACAAAAAAGTTTTAAATAGTATTTAATACTTTAAACATAAAAAACAAATTGAAGATATTTCGAATGCTTAAACTGAAATAAATGATTAAATTTGAGAATTTTAAAACTTAAAAAAATTGTCAACATATGTTAATTAATTATGTATATGTACTCTTAAGACGACGATATTTATCTAAAATAGAAAAATTATTATAAAAAAATTAAATAGTTATTCTTTTAAAAGCTTATTTAATGTTATTTATGGATTTAAATTATAATTAAAAGGTGCTCGAGGGTGAAAAGAAAGCTTATGTTGAAATTGACGGAAATCAGCTGCTGCACTGTGACGTCATATTTGAAACACTTCCTAGTCAACCAGGAAATGCATTTGCGAATTTCCATAGAAAACAACGCCACCTATAACTACTAACCTAAAAATCTCGGCAATCCTTTAACATGGATAAATCGATAAATATGCAAAACCTTTACATCACTGGCCATAAAAAGGAAAGCATTAAAAAAAAGGAAATCAAAGAATTATCACTCCCCTAATCTAATTCTTCACACCTGGTCTCACCTGGTCTCACCTCGTTTACTTTCCATTCTCCATTACAATTACATTAAGGTGGGAAGACCATCACACATCCTAAGTTTGATGTTTGCAAAGGCTCCCACCTGTCAAGGTATAAACAAAAATCCTCTACTCCCTCCTTTAATAAATTAAGTATGCGTCTATGCACATCGTACTTACTGAGATGGAGAACTTGCAAGACGAACAATGCGCTGTCTACTTAAATCGGGAGATGAAAAGTATAGAGAAATTGGATTTAGGCAACACACAGGGCGGTGGCGAAGGCAACCCAGGTCGGCATAGCGACAGTGTCATAGCACTGCGCAGTGGCTAGAATGCCGTCGTTTGAGATATCGATTGCCTATCCTAACCACACTTCTATCCTTTCACGCTTTCTGACTTAATGACTTGAGAAATGTCAGTCAGTACAATTTGAATTTTCCACCACCTATAAGTTGGCTTCCCCTCTCACATAGTAATTATGCGGAGTAAACCGATTTACAGGGGCCGGAGGTTGGGGAAGATTTTTTCTTCCCTCTCTTTGTGTCTCTAGAACAATGGGAGTTTAATTAAGCGCAGGAAACAAGAAATTGACGGAATGGGGATTGTTAATTCCACTAGACGAATATCATGTTCTCCGACTGAGTTGATTACACAAATGACTGGAATTCCACGCATTGTTGGTCGTAAATGGAATTGCATTAAAGGGGAGGAAATATTGTTTTATTTCCGTTTTCTGATTACTTCCGGGATTTTGTAGATTATTACTAATAGTTTTTGAGAAATTATTCCTTGATTTATACCATATTATCATTTCTGAAATGGTAATTTAATAATTCTGTCGTCGGCCGAACTCATTCATCATTAAAAAATAGACAATTACGTACGTTAACCTATTCATACACAGTCGCTGTTTTTTTTTCTGCCGTTTGATTGACGTCTCGAGTAGTTGTCAACTTTTCATTCCTGTAAAGATCACCTCGGGGACACGAGAGGTGTTTCCCACATTGTCAATGACAGATGGCTCTGACAAGTCTTTTCCCATCTCTCTAATCATTAAGACCATTACATAGAATATGGATACGTGACGTCTCTCTTTAATTTTCTTTCGGATATTTACTGCCATCTGGCGAGGAAAAAATGCAACTATTAATACCAACGCTAGTAATAGTTTTCAGACATTTCAACCATCTTAAAATCATATTTTTATAAAAGCCTAAATGATCGCCTTGACATTTTAATAAACTTTTTACTAGGAAATTTGTTCTGAACTATCCGCCTCTATCTAAAAAATAGCGATTTTTTATGATAAAATTCGAATTTACTAAACTTTGTGATAAAAATCCCCCTCAGAAAAGTTAAGCAATTGTGCTATTTTTATTACAGAAAAATAAATATCTCGTTATATATATATAAAGTTTTAAATCCCTAAAAGTAACAGTTAAAATATTCTATTGTTATGTTTTATTAAGATTATAAATTAAGCGAAGAAAATGATTGCAGATTAAGAGAAGCTAATTCACTTATTCGAAGCGATTTCAATATATTAATTTATAATCCGAAAAATCGATATAAATTTAGATTTTATAAATCAATTGATAATATTTGTAGCCAGTGATATCAATCGCTTGTAGTTAATTAATCGTTTACTATAATATATATATTTCACATCGAAAAATCTTTATTCACCCGGAAAAAAATGGAAGAAAATAAGATCAAATATCGAACAACTTCGGAATTCGAACTAGAAAGATGCTACAGGTATTAATAAACGGAAGAAAAATCACGGAATTAATGTTATCTGCGATCATTTACCTTTCCTAATTCGCATTAGAATCATTATTATTGAATATAAATATCTAAGTACTTTGCCTCATTACAATAAACGTTAACTAAATAACCATTTTCATTAAAGTCGTTTAATATTTAAGTATTAGCGGACGGTAAACGACAGATAAATTTTTCTCATCTGTACGTTCCCATTATTGCAAATAGTACTTAAGCGTAAGTAGATTAACTGTGATAGAAATAAACCAATGTTATCTCCTATACTAAATCAGATATTTAACCGGATAAACTCATAATTAATTTTATTACTTAACACTTTTTTTATTTAATTACTCTTTTATTAATTTAATATTAATTAACGCTTCATTGCTACAAAAAAGTTTTAAATAGTATTTAATACTTTAAACATAAAAAACAAATTGAAGATATTTCGAATGCTTAAACTGAAATAAATGATTAAATTTGAGAATTTTAAAACTTAAAAAAATTGTCAACATATGTTAATTAATTATGTATATGTACTCTTAAGACGACGATATTTATCTAAAATAGAAAAATTATTATAAAAAAATTAAATAGTTATTCTTTTAAAAGCTTATTTAATGTTATTTATGGATTTAAATTATAATTAAAAGGTGCTCGAGGGTGAAAAGAAAGCTTATGTTGAAATTGACGGAAATCAGCTGCTGCACTGTGACGTCATATTTGAAACACTTCCTAGTCAACCAGGAAATGCATTTGCGAATTTCCATAGAAAACAACGCCACCTATAACTACTAACCTAAAAATCTCGGCAATCCTTTAACATGGATAAATCGATAAATATGCAAAACCTTTACATCACTGGCCATAAAAAGGAAAGCATTAAAAAAAAGGAAATCAAAGAATTATCACTCCCCTAATCTAATTCTTCACACCTGGTCTCACCTGGTCTCACCTCGTTTACTTTCCATTCTCCATTACAATTACATTAAGGTGGGAAGACCATCACACATCCTAAGTTTGATGTTTGCAAAGGCTCCCACCTGTCAAGGTATAAACAAAAATCCTCTACTCCCTCCTTTAATAAAATAAGTATGCGTCTATGCACATCGTACTTACTGAGATGGAGAACTTGCAAGACGAACAATGCGCTGTCTACTTAAATCGGGAGATGAAAAGTATAGAGAAATTGGATTTAGGCAACACACAGGGCGGTGGCGAAGGCAACCCAGGTCGGCATAGCGACAGTGTCATAGCACTGCGCAGTGGCTAGAATGCCGTCGTTTGAGATATCGATTGCCTATCCTAACCACACTTCTATCCTTTCACGCTTTCTGACTTAATGACTTGAGAAATGTCAGTCAGTACAATTTGAATTTTCCACCACCTATAAGTTGGCTTCCCCTCTCACATAGTAATTATGCGGAGTAAACCGATTTACAGGGGCCGGAGGTTGGGGAAGATTTTTTCTTCCCTCTCTTTGTGTCTCTAGAACAATGGGAGTTTAATTAAGCGCAGGAAACAAGAAATTGACGGAATGGGGATTGTTAATTCCACTAGACGAATATCATGTTCTCCGACTGAGTTGATTACACAAATGACTGGAATTCCACGCATTGTTGGTCGTAAATGGAATTGCATTAAAGGGGAGGAAATATTGTTTTATTTCCGTTTTCTGATTACTTCCGGGATTTTGTAGATTATTACTAATAGTTTTTGAGAAATTATTCCTTGATTTATACCATATTATCATTTCTGAAATGGTAATTTAATAATTCTGTCGTCGGCCGAACTCATTCATCATTAAAAAATAGACAATTACGTACGTTAACCTATTCATACACAGTCGCTGTTTTTTTTTCTGCCGTTTGATTGACGTCTCGAGTAGTTGTCAACTTTTCATTCCTGTAAAGATCACCTCGGGGACACGAGAGGTGTTTCCCACATTGTCAATGACAGATGGCTCTGACAAGTCTTTTCCCATCTCTCTAATCATTAAGACCATTACATAGAATATGGATACGTGACGTCTCTCTTTAATTTTCTTTCGGATATTTACTGCCATCTGGCGAGGAAAAAATGCAACTATTAATACCAACGCTAGTAATAGTTTTCAGACATTTCAACCATCTTAAAATCATATTTTTATAAAAGCCTAAATGATCGCCTTGACATTTTAATAAACTTTTTACTAGGAAATTTGTTCTGAACTATCCGCCTCTATCTAAAAAATAGCGATTTTTTATGATAAAATTCGAATTTACTAAACTTTGTGATAAAAATCCCCCTCAGAAAAGTTAAGCAATTGTGCTATTTTTATTACAGAAAAATAAATATCTCGTTATATATATATAAAGTTTTAAATCCCTAAAAGTAACAGTTAAAATATTCTATTGTTATGTTTTATTAAGATTATAAATTAAGCAGAGGGGTTAAGGTTATCCTCTGAAATGGTGCTTTTTTTCCAAGTGCTTTTGTATTAATGAAAAGCATCTGTATTACACAATTGTTAATATATATAAAAAGAAAGTAGGATGAGAAAGAGAGAGAAAAGGCACTATTTGAAGATTATCAAATGCCATTTTAAAATATAATTATTTTTAATAACATTCAGAACTTTTAAGAATTGTTATTTATAATTGTCGAAATGATGGAGGGAAGTCTTTCGAAAGACCAATGCCGACTACAATCAAAAAACACTATATCAAAACTTGAAACTTTCAGTTCTATTTTTTGATATATGCATAAGTTCTAGCTACTCGAAATATATTAGATACGTAACAAAGTCTAGTCATTACAATCGTGATGTTTTCAAATTGTTTGAGATATTTAGCTTATATATATAATAAATATGTATATGTATNGTTTTAAATTCGAATTTGTTATTGCGTATTGGTTCGATTATAGAACGATTGTAAACGTTTCAGAAAATTGATCAAATTGAAAATAGTTCGTTTGATTTTCGGCAATTCTCTTCAGCGGTAGGTGTTATATAACAATTACTATGGTTATTGAAATATTGGATGTAAATGGGGTTTGCTTGCAAAACCTCCGCTGACGAAGTCGCGGGTAACAGCTAGTATATATATATAGATGAATCTGTAGCTGAAACTTGAACCATAACTCATTTTTTAATACATTAGGAATAGATTTTATGATTTAAAAAAGTTCTAGAAAATTCAGATTTACAATATTCCAGTCAATAAAATTAATAAGGCTTTTATTATATTTGCAAGCAATATATTCAAACTTCTGAACAATGGCCACTGAGGAAACATGAGAAACGGTCACTGTTTAGAGGTTCGACTGTATTATTAAACAATTATTATCTGTATACAATTCTTCATTCTTAAATACATTATATATGCAAATTTATTGCATATTAAAATTTCTAAATATGAAATGTATTTGTTAAAAAATTAATGTTAAATCTATAGTTTAAATATTCAATCAATAATTTTATAATTTTAATTAATAAAATTTTGTCATTTATTTTAAATTTAAACTATTCTCAACAAAAATTGATACTCAAATATTTGATAATTAAAATCTTTTGGTCTTGTTTGACAATTTCAGTTTGTATATTTGAATCACTTTTTTAAAACTTGAACTATTTGATTTTCTTTATTGAATTACCTTGAACTGAATCAATATTTTGTGATGGAATTTCTGATTCCAGCTACCTATTTTTATAAAAATAGCTACCTATTTTTATAAAAATGTGGTAAATATGAATATTCTATTTTTAGTAATCATTATAAAAAGAAATAATCTGAACATATGCAAAATGTCTTTCCTGAGAAAAAGATAATTTATCATAAAATATAAATTCATTACGTTAATACTAAATTCTGTTTAAAAATAATTTAATTTGGCTAAAAAATTATGCTTTGATTCATTAAAATATTTCTAGATTTCATCTTCAGTAATTTCTATATTTATTATTTATGATATTTAATAAAAAGTTTGCAAAATTATTCCCAGCCTACTATAATACATCATAAATAATTGCATCGTACTTTAATAAACCAATATCATTGATAAAATGATAAATTATTAAACAGTTTGGATGTGTTCCATTTCCTTTTAAATATTTAAATAGTAATAATATTATTATCATTATTAAATTTTCAACTATTATATAACAATTATTGTAATCGACAATTAAAGATAAGAGACTATTTATATTCATAAATTAAAGAAATCTTGGAGATAAAAATAAAAAGATATCTTGTGATTTATCACAAAACTACACCTTCTAAAATTTTGATCTTTTGATTAGAAAATGAAAAAATACATTAACAAGTGATAATATTTAATATTTTTATTAATAAAATAAATTCTTAAAATATATTTCACTATACAAATATATTTTTTCATAAGATAACATTTACATTTTTATATGCAATAAATTAATGAAAATGTATTTAACATATAACACAATATGATTTCTTTACTCAGATTTAAGTAAAATTGACAAAATGATATAAACAAATAAAATTATGTATTTACAAATTGATGAAATAACAAATGATATATCTCATAACTAAAGAGATGATATTTTTAGTCTTTCTTCTAATTTGTCAATATCATTGGCAATGCTCTTCCTTAACTGTTCTCGATATTCAGCTTCTTGTCTCCAAACGCTTTCGCTGGCTTCATTGATTAACTGATCAACTGTCGAAGGGTCAAACATTAATCTGGAACTTTTTGATTTATTTAAAATGTCAATTTCTTTTTTAAGCTGTTCTTCATTCTTTTGTGTTTCTCTAAATTTGAAAATAAATGTTTATATTAATTATTATTAAAAACAACTTTTTATTAACTAACTACTACTAAAGTTGACTGTTATGAAAGAAATATTTTTCTAAAATTATAATTTATTCATTAAAAATATTCTAACATTCTATTAAACAATTTGGGAATAGAACAGAAAATAAACTAATACTGTAGGAATAATTTTGAATTTGTGCTCTTAAATAATAATAATAAATATAAAATGTACACCTAAAAATGTTTCTAAAAAATAATATGCAAAGAGAGAATATTAACTAGTTTTTCATTCCAGTAGAAACCCAATTAACCAAAGTTCTGCATTATCTGAGGCAAACTTGTAAGTGAATAACAAAAAATAACTGCTTTTCTTATATTGTAATTGATAGAAGAAAGTTTAAAGTGATAACAGAAACAAATCATTTTGTAATACATGATTTGTTTTATCATTTGACTTCAATACAAGATAATCATTCATATTAAAATGTAACTACAATAATACACATTTTTTATTCTTAAAAGAGTTGTATGTATTAGCTGTATAATAAATGATGTAAAAAATATTGTTCTTATATATGTATGATTAAATTTACCAAAGTATAATTCGGCACCTCAAACAACCTTTACAGCTCCAGTGGTATGTGTTTACACGTTAGCAAACGTTTTCAACCTCATCGAGGTCTTCATCAGGCTACTTTAACTTGTACGAATTAGCTGGCATAGCTTGTTATATAAGAAATAAACTTCTTCCAACACTAGAGGAGTTATAATTCAGCACCTCAAACAACCTTTACAGCTCCAGTGGTGCTGAATTATAACTCCTCTAGTGTTGGAAGAAGTTTATTTCTTATATAATAAGCTATGCTGGCTAATTCGTACAAGTTAAAGTAGCCTGATGAAGACCTCGATGAGGTTGAAAACGTTTGCTAAATGTGTAAACACATACCACTGGAGCTGTAAAGGTTGTTTGAGGTGCTGAATTATAACTCCTCTAGTGTTGGAAGTTTATTTCTTACCAAAGTATAAAAAGAAGCTTAAAAATGATATCGTATAAATCTTTTATATTCATAATTTTTAATCCAAAATGGCTGTTGATGTCCATTTTTCCTGAATGTTTTTGGAGGATGTGTTGGTCCATATTACTTTGGATAATTGGGGTTTTACTGTACTAATATTAACTACACAATGCTTTTCCTAAAAAATGTTTTTAAAAAAGAGAATAAATTAATGAAGACTAAAAAAGAAAATGCAATTATAAAAATAAAAATTTACTTTAAAAGTTTATCTTTTTCTAAAAGAGACTGTTCTAGATTTGTTATTATTTTTAAATATCTTTCATGACTTGAATCAGCATTTCTGTTTGTTTCATCCTTACTGATCATTTCATATTTTGACTGATGTGAAGCAATCTGCAAATAATAAGTTTTCAATTGAATAAATTTCTGTTTAAGAACTTTAAAAATTAATTAATTTTAATTATATAAATTTTTATATAGTAGAATCTGCTTAATGTAATCACTCTGAAACCTGCTTGAACTGATTGATAACATTAAGAGGCAGGGAAGTAAGTATGAGCAATAAGCATATAATAAAAAAATTATAAAAAATAGCAATTTAAAAATGTATAATAACTATAACTATTATTAATATTGATGAACAGTAATTCATCCAGAATTATTTGTGTGACTTTTTTTTTTTGCAGTACCATCTCTAACAATAGCTAGCTTATGATTGAAGTAAGAAATGCCTATAATTTAAACTATTACTAAGAACAAATAATGATTAAAATGATTAATATTTAAACATTGGTTAAGATCGATAATGATAACTGATAGCATGAACAGACAGCTTAAAAATGCCTTAAGTTATTAACTCTACAATAAGTGTAAAGTTTTATATGTATATTTTAACTTGTGTTCTGGGACATGCTAATTCTGATAAGGTTAATTAAACAACTGATAATAGTATCTATGATTACAATAAGTGATTCTACTGTATTAATAATAAAATATAACCTATATTTGAAAAACTCTTTTATATAAAACAAACTACTCACCACACCTCAATAATAATTACATACACAGAACCGTAAATTGGTTCTGTGTATGTAACTCTTTTATACTTTTCAAAAGAGAAAATTTAAATATCATGAATTAGAAAAAAATGAAATACTGTGATAAAATAATTCTAAAAAAAAAACTTATTTTATTAAACAAATCTTACATTTATAATGTGAATACGAGGGGTGTTCAAAAAGTATCAGACCTTTGGTCGGCAAAAATACATTTATTGATTTTGAGGTACAAAACCCTAATCCCCTTCAAAGTAGTCTCCTTGGTAATGTATACACTTCTCCCAGCACTTCTGCCATTGCTGGAAACATTGCTGGAACACATCTTTTGGAATGGGCCATCAGCCGGTCTGTCACATTACGCATTATGTCTTCTCTTTACTAAAATCGGGTTCCTTTTAGCAGCATTTTCAGTTTGGGAAATAGCCAAAAGTCACACGGAGCCATGTCGGAAGAGTACGAAGCGTGACAAACCACAGGAATGTTGTGTTTGGAGATGAAAGTCCAAATCAGATGCACAGAATGGGAGGGTGTGTTATCATGATGGAGCTGCCAAGTTTTGGTTGACCACAGATCCGGTAATTTGCATCGCACAGCATCACAAAGATGACGAAGGACCTCCTGGTAGTTCCTTTGTGATGATTTGGCCTTGTGATGTGTACTCAGGATACACCACCCCACGGGAGTTGAAAAAAATTGTCAACATGACCTTGACATTGCTGTGGACCTGCCGCGGTTTTTTTGGCCTCAAGGATCGTCCCTGAAAGCCTGCTGAATCTTGCGAATGGTTTCTGCTTGGGTATCGCCAAGCTTTTGGCAAAATTTGATGCAATATTGCTGCTCACGTTGTTCAGTCATTTTCCAACTTAGTGGAATCCGATGAGAGCTTGCTACACATCCTCACTCATAGGCCGACTGCCAGCAACTGACACTTCCTGCAGGCGGGAAAAAATTCAGGACTGTGCATGACTGTCCCCTCCACAACTCCACCAAAAGAGACCTCCTGTGCATCATTGGTTTACACGGGAAAAATAAAGGTCCAATACTTTTTGAACACCCCTCGTATTCTAGAATCATATTATTTTAATGATTTTCACAATGTTTTAAGACAACGAGCAATTATTTATTGTGACATCATCACAATGCCGGGCTGCAAGCAATTTTTAATTAATTTAATTTAAAATATATTCTCTCCATCTCAAATTAGTACTATAGTGTCTTGCTCCTGTACATCATTCTTCTACTTTAACAATAGAGTTGTGCCAGTCATCTATTAACTTTTTTCAGGAGAAAAGTTTTGAAATAATGTGACTTCCAGTTTGTATCAGAAGTTTATATATAGTTAATCAGGGCCTCCTACCCCTAAGGTTTCCACATCTGGTCTTGGATTTCATCTATCTAACCCCATTCTTAAGATTAAGGAAAGACAGACGTACGGGCAGATGGATGGATGACATTGGGAATTTATAGGTCTACAAATTTTTCAAATTGCAGCCCAATTAATGTATGGTCTTGTTTTATGTGGAGGCCGTGTCAGCAGGTAACACAAAATTCTGCATAAATCTGTGCTCCACTCCAAACAGTCTCAGATGATTGCAGTCATTTATGCAACCGTTTACAATTAATAAAAAACTATTAAAATGTTTTTACTATAATGAACAACATTTTAGCCAAATGTGTCTGAATATATAATACAAAATTTTATTACATGATATTGGGAAAAACCAGAGTATTCACCTCAGTGAGAAGCACTCAGTAGTTCTCTGTGTTGGGAATCAATGCCCTAAATATGACAAAACATCAAACAATGCTTTTCCATCTTCTGACATTATAAAAGCTAGAGAAGCATTGTTTACTGATTTAAGAAAAGACTCAGGGCACTAAGTGTTACACGTTAATGTAGTCATCTTTTGAATGTATATAATGTTAGAAAGTTACTATCTCTTTCATTTAATTCTCTAAACACAGTTATGCATGATGTTAAAATATCATCAAGTTTTTCTTTAAGTTTCATTGTCCATATTAAAACTTTTATTTTTGTTTCATCTTAATAAGTTTTTCTCAAATTTTTTATCTTCTTCTCTTTTTACACTTTCAGGTAGGCTGTAGCAAATTAATTCTAATTTTTATATCACTATTTTTACTTCACAAAGAATTTCATAATAAATATCAGTATCTGCATTAATAGTCAAAGTCATTCCTGTACATCCAATGGTTAATCTAACTATTCATTATCTGTGAAGACACAAATCCACATAAAAAAAAAGACCCTACTGTATATATTTTTCAAAGCAGTGGTTCTTGACCTGGATGCACACACTCCTGGGGAAGTGAACCACCTTTTCTGAGAGCATGAGCTTCTGTAATAAACATTTTCTGGAAAATAAAAAATTCAGAGGGAAGAAAAATTTTCTCTTTTAAAAATTTTCCTCTCTTAATCACTTAATTCTACTTAAACTTAGGCTGAAATACACAAGGAATAGCCCTACTCTTTTAAATAATAATAATAATTTATTTTTTCATGAAAGTGTGAAAATGGTATTTTGAAATTTCAAGGAAAAAGTGTAGAAGTGGAAAAGTTTAAGAACCACTGCTTTAAGAAATAAATTCCTTACATTTAGTACTATAAATATGAGGGAGACTGGAAAGTAATGTCGTTTTTGTGCATGCCAACATTTATGTATTGCTAATCAGTTGATTGTGTATGCTTGTGAGTAAGTTGTGCAAGATATTTTTGCAAATGAAAGTGACTTCTTTTCTTTTGTTTTACAGATCAATTTCATTTTTATAACATTCCTGTTTGAAATGTCAAGCCAAAAACCAGAAGAGTTGCATATTTGACACTGCATGTTATTGAGTTTGGAAAGGTAGTGATGCAACAAAAGCTACAAAAAACATTTGTGATGTTTATCCAGCTGCATTAGATGTCCATAAATCCAAAAATGATTTTCTAGGTTCAGGTTGGGTAATTTTGATCTTTGATGTTTTATGGGCAGAAATGGAAGCAAATCCTTGTCAAATGATTGAAGTGTTATTAGTTAAGCTTAACACATCTTGGTCAACCATTCAAGAACATTTGAAGCAGATTGGTAAAGTTAACAGAGAAGGTGTTTGGGTTCCATACACTTTGTCAGAAGAAAACAAAGTTAATCATTCAATCACCTGTAATTTGTTGTTGTAACAACATAACACAAAAGCATTTCTTGATTGTGTGGTGACTGGAGATGAGAAATGGGTTCTTTATGTCAATCCCAAATATAAAAGACAATGGCTTTCTTCCAATCAAACCCCATTAGCTATACCAAAGCTAGGCATACACCATAGAAAGGTAATGTTTTCTGTCTGGTAGCATACTCAGGGCATAATCCATTTTGAGATGCTAGAACCAGGTCAAACCATAACTGCAGACCTTTATTTTCAACAATTAGATTGAGTAATCCAAGCTTTGATTAAAAAGTAGCCAGCCCTTGTTAACAGAAAAAGCGTCATTCTATACACACACACACATGCACATGCACACCTCTTTTATTCACGTAATGTCAAAGTACTACATGTCTGGCACCGCTTTGCATAGCCAGTTAACATATAAAAACATTGAATTATTGAAATTACAATTACACATATTATTTTTGCAGTATTTTATAATAATTTACAATATATATTTAAGATTTTTGTAAAGTATAGTTCCTATAAAGCCCAATTTTGCATAAAGTCCAAAGGGCATTGACAACAGTATTCAACTGCCAAAAGCAAGCATTCATATGTCGTTATCACATAGCCCACTAGCCAACAAAGTTCTGGCAGTTAAATTTGTACATCACAAATTCAGTTGCACAATTGCACACTATAATTATCCATATTGGAGTAAGCACTTAATTTGTAGTCCAGAAAGATTCCGTTTCACTAACAACACTTCTAAGCATGTCTTCCGTGGCAGTTTTCTTTTAATTGTATTTGAGTAAAATCTGTATTCTTGTATAATGAGACAATTATCTGAACAGGGCCAGTCCAGACAGACCCATATTCGGGTGTAAAAGGTCATGAGGAAGTAGTGCATATCCCCAGCCATTCAATTGAGAACCTAATACAGACCAAATTCAAGGCCTACTTTAAACCATGGAACAATACTTTGGAACAAAATCAGCAGTAGAATGCTAAAAGAATTGGAAGAAACTATAATGCATACAGTATCAGTAATAATTACCATGATTTTGAATTTAACAAGTTTAAATAATATATAATGAGTAGTAAAATAACAAATCTCGAATACCTCAACACCTGTAATTTAAAAATAAATATTTAAAAGCATAACAAGAGTTGTATAAAAGTTAGA